GCACCGATGGCCGGGGCCATCTTCTTCACTCCTTGGGAGAGCAGTGTGGTTGGCACCTGAGATGTTTGCAAAATCACCTTGGCTGGTGGTGGTGACACTGTTGTCTCTCTTCAGGGCAAAGGACGTGTGCGACGCGGCGCCTACCAAAGCCCCACGTCTCCCGTTGCCGTGCGCTTGCCCTCGGTGACAGATGTCCCCGAGGAGACCATGAGCAGCGAGGAAGCCATGGAGATGGAGGTGACAGAGCAGCAGCAAGTGGCCATGCAGCAAGAGGAGAAGGTGCTGACTGAGCAGATTGAGAGCCTGCAGAAGGAAAAGTGAGTTTAATCCACATCCCCTAGCTATAGGTTACCTGTGGATGTTGCTTGACGTCATATCATTGATGTGCTGCCCACAGGGTGACCTGGAGGACTCCATCCCTCTATATTATCTTGGCGTACATGCGTCCCTTTCTTCTCTCCAACTTTTTGGTCCCTTTGGGTCAATGGCACTGGGTTGGTTTTGGCAGGGAGGAGCTGACATTTGAGATGCTGACACTGGAGCCCCGCGCCTCTGATGACGAAACCCTCGAGTCCGAAGCCTCTATCGGCACTGCTGACAGCTCTGAAAATTTGAACTTTGACTCCGAAGGAGCCATCTCCGATCGCTCGGGTAAATCCAGGTGTTCTTGGGTTTATCATAGAAGGGTTTGGGTTGGAAGGGACCTTCAAAGATTGTCTAGTCCAACCCCCTGGAATGAGCAAGGACATCTTCAACTCCATCAGGTTGCTCAGGTTTTTTGATAGCTTAGGGAGGGTTTATTAGTTTTTTCCTGCCCGCTCTTGATGTATAGCAATTTAAATGGGTGTAAAGAGGGGAATTAAGGGTTAAAACATGTGGACCTGGGGAGGTGGTTTGTAGCATCAAAGGTTTGATGGGGGGGTGAGTGCTCCTCCAGTGCCGCCGTGTCATCCTGGGTGATGCTACCTGTAGCAAGCTGCTGGGAACATCCTGGCTCAGTGGTGGATGTTCCTGGGGAGAAGCACCAAGGTGTTGGGTGGTTTTGGGGTGTTAATCCTCCGGTCGTCCTTCCCCCACCTAGAGAGAAGCGTAGCACTTACCTCCCTGCGCCCTGCCAAGGTGGAGGGGCCGAGCCGGCTGCGAAGGCACCCCAGGACGCGGCCAGACCCGGTGGACCCAGCCGATGCCTCCATCTCCTCCTCCTCCTCCTCCCAATCGTCCACCTCCTGCTTGCCCCACCTGCCCCGGAAGCGCTTCCAGATGTACTCCAAATCGCCTTTCTACCGAGCAGGGGGGTCCGGCGAGCCCCCCGAAACCCGGGCAAGCCCTGAGGGCTTCGTGGGACCTCTCCGTTATCCTGAGGACCGGCCTCAGTTCACCACCCGCGGGACGTTCAACCCGGAGAAAGGCAAACAGAAACTGAAGAGCGTGAAAACTTCCCCCCCAAAAGCCAAAGAGCCCCCAGATGGGGGGGTGGGGGGGGGACGCAAGCGAAACCCCGAGGCCGACTGCGCCACTGCCCAACCCCTCGTCCTCCTGGGGAGCAACGAGTTCATGGTCTGAGTTGCTCCACTCCAGGGATGCGTCGTGCACCAGAGCACCCTCCCTGTTGCCAGCACCGACAGTGCTCCCCATGGCTTCCTTGTTAATGCCAGAAGGATGAATTATTAATTAAAAAGACCGGTGGGGGATGGTTTTAATGGTGGCCTTAATGGGTTGGGGGGATTGGACCAGAGATGGAGGGGCACTGGCCAGCTTCTGCGCCCTTCCCCTCAGCATTCTGCATCTCGGAGCATCACGCCGCCAAATCCTCGTGCTGAATTGCCATTGCCGGTCAGTAGGAGAAAACCAAGCATAAAAATCCTGTGGGAGCATCCTGAGCCGGTGCCGGCTCCACTCCAGCCAGCCAAGCCCTCCGTGCTTTAACCACCTCATCCACGCCAATGCCAAGCGCATGGAAAAGCGTTAAAATCTGCCAAAAAATCACTTTTTTTTTTTTTTTTAACATGACCTAACCACCTTTCCTCTCTTTTTGGAGACCATCAGTATTAAAAAAATAATAATAATAATCAAGGACTACTTGAAGCTATATTTGTTTATATGCCAGTTACTGGAGTTTGTTGTAAATATATATATTTTTTTTTTAATATTTTTCCCCAGACAGAAGTGGTTTTTTAATTCTTACTATTTTTTTGGCCGAGGAGGAGGGAATCGATAGGCTGAGCCGTCCTGCCGGTGTCACCACTGGTGTTACCATCCATCACTTGCCGCTACCGCCTTGCTCTGTACATTGAGTTTTGTTTTGAACAAGGAATGCCTGGGGGTATAATTAGCATGATTTAAAAGCAGTGCCCATGATAGGTCTAATTAGCAACACAGGTAATGACTCAGCTCTTGATCCTTCCCGTGTCATCATCACCCTCGGTGGTGCCTGGAGAAACTCTGGGTACTGGAAAACTGAAAAGGTGAATTTAGGAGCCCTGGAGTGCTAATTAGATTAATAAAGGCTGGATCTGTCCTCTCACAGGGGCTGTGCATTGCGGGTGGAGGCTTGTCCTTTCCCAAAATGCAATGAAAAAGGGGGAAAATACCAAAAAATTGAGTTTTCCTGAGCTTTTTGTGTTTTTCCAGGCATCCCTGCATCCCCAGGTTTAGCTGAGCTGCCCTTCGGTCCCCTCTCCCCCTGCCCACAGAGCCATTTCTTTTGAGGGATGGTTTATTTATTGAGGTTTTATTTTATTTTGTGTTTTTAATTTTTTTTTTCTTTTAAACTTTTTTCAGTGGGGGAAGGCAAAGGTGCCACAGGGAGAGTGGGGGCGCGGGAACAACATCCACCTTGGCACTGCATCCAGGGAGCGGAGCCAGACCAAGTCAGTCATCCCCCAGCCATAGGGGAAAATGGGATTTTGCCATCCCCAGAGAGGAAAGCAGGCTTTTGGGACCCACCCAGGATGCCAGGATGTGCTGGGAAGGCAGGTGGTGGCCATGCAAGGGGAAGCTCTGGGGAATCACCCCTAACCTCCTCAGAGCTGGAAGTAGCAGGAGCATCCCCAGTGCTCTGCGCCAAAACTAGCCATTTTCGAGCCTCTTTGTCTAAAATCCCAGGAATTCCCCTCAAAGTGGCCAGGCTCCAGGCAAGGAGGCCCCTGGGTGTGGGTGAAAGGGCTCCCTCCTCATCCTCAGTTTTCTTGCCCTTGCAGCACAAGAGCAGCAGGGACGGTGGATCTGGCTTAGGCAGCACCTCCAAATGTGTGTATAGATATGTGTGTGTGTATTTCTTTTGAGAGATATATATTTCCCTTATATATATATATATATATATATATATAAAAAATATATATAAAGAAAGTATATTTAAAATAATATATATTCTATATATAAAGAAAATATAAAAAATATATTCTCTGTATAACTAAAAGTATATAAAGAATAAATGTTTCTTTATATATTTTATATTTCTTTTATATATAATACATCTTTATATAAAGAAATATATATGGGATATACTATATAAAGAATACATATTTCTTTATATATTTTAATATATTTCTATATAAAGAAATATATAATGTATTCTATATACAAAGAATACATATTTCTTTATATATTTATATAAAGACATACATAAGAAATTTACTGTATATAAAGTATATATATTTCTTTATATGTATTTCTTCTATATGTATAAAGAAATAAGTTTCTTTATATGTATATATTTCTTTATATAGAGTATATTTCTCTATATAGAGAGAAATATAACAGAAATATATATACCATGTATAAAGAATATATGTTTATATATTTTCTCTCTTTATGACTGTATGGAATATATATAGAATATATATAGAAAATATATTTCTTTATATGTGTATATATATATATATATATATAAAGAAAAAACATACAAAAGAAATATATGCATATGCATATGTATAAGATCCTAGCAGGAGCTAAGTTAGCAGTCAGCACTGGACCCCCCCAAGGAACCTGGGGAGAAATGGGGTGTTCCACGTCCCCAGCCAGTGCATCCCCCTGGCACCTCCCACAGCTCTGACAAAGAGCCAGATTTTGGGGCAAAACATGGGGTTTTCCGAAGCGGCATGAATGTACTTACTACTGGAAAGGAGAGGGGCTGCGTGCTGTTAATTATTATTATTTTTAATGGAAATTTTTTAAAGTAATTTATAAGTCTGCTGCGTGTAAATTAAAAACAAAAGTCTGTATTGTAAGAGGATATATTATCCTGTGTCAGCCACTCTAGAAATTGTTTAACAAAGGAAAAAAAAAAAAGAAAAAAAAAGAAAAAGAGAAATAAAAGTGTAATTCTACAAAGGCGAAGAACTTCTCATGCCCCACAGCTGGGGGCCGCTGCCGCTTCTTGAACCCCCAAGTTACTGTTGGGTTTTCAGGGGGTTTGGGGGTATTTTTTCTTTCTGCCATCAGACTGTGGTATATATAAAGTGCAATTTGTGGATTTTTCCCTCAGATCCTCCCCTGGCTGTACAAAGCGGCTTGGCTGACCTGACCCCTGACCCCGCGCTAATTAAAGAGCTGTAACGAGGAGCGCCTGGCCTTGGGTGCTGTGTTTGATGCTGGGAGGGTAACGGCGGCTCTCTGGGGGCGGAGGCTGTGCTTCCAGCTCATTTCTGTGCATATTAATTCATTCAGATTCTTTAATTCTTTATATACAGATAATTTCTATTCAGATTATCTATTTTCATCTCATTTATATTCAGATTATGTTCAGATTATTTCTGTTCAAATTATTCAGATAATTTATTTTTGATATCTTCAGATTATTTTCATTTTCTTTATATTCACATTATTTCTATTAATTTTCATTCCAATTTATTCCTATTATTTATACTCATTTTATTTACATTTACTTTATTTATTTGTTTTCAGTTTGTTTATATTCAGATTATTAATATTCAGCCTGTGCCCCCCCACTGCCACCCCCATCCGAGGATGGGGACCCCGAGTCGGCGACACGAGGAGGCTGTCTGCAAAAGCCCTCTTTATTCGGAGTATAAAATTGTGGGGCTGGGGGAGTGGGATCTCCCGGGACACGGGGACAAGTCTCTGCCACCACGTGTCCCCTGGGATCATGGAGCAGATGTTGGGGGTGAGGGGGGGGCCGGGGCCTGTGAGTGAGGGGCAGTGATTGTGGCTGCAGGGGGCACACAGCCCCAGGATGGTGTCGCCCCTGGGCTGGGGTCATGGCCCCTGGGCTGGGGTCACCCTGGGCCTGTGTCACCCCTGGCCAGTGCCAACCCCAGGATGGCATCAACCCTGTGGCCAGTGTCACGCCCTGGATGGCATCGCCCTTGGCCCCTGTCACCCCTGGGCTGGTGTCATGCCCCAGGCTGGCATCATCCCCAGGCAAGTGTCAACCCCAGGCTGGTGTCACCCCTGGGTGCCATCGAGTCCCCATGATGCTGGTGCCCCAGTAAGGGCGCCTTGCCTGGGTCCGTGGGTTCCTCCAGTGTTTGGGACAGTGGCACCTATCGAGGCACCCACCCCAATGAGGTGCTCCCGGTGCACCTGGCACTCACTTGGGGACATCCCCAGGGAAGCTGGTCCCATGTCCCAGCTGCCAGCACCACCCCATAGTCCTGGAGTTGGGACCACAGGGCACCTTCACCCCCTGCAGCATCCCAGGGCGAGGAGACCCTGGGTAGGGGTGACAGGGTGCCAAAGCAAGGTGACAAACAAGCCGGGTGACTTTGGGGTAGGGGGGTTCAGTTCTTGAACATGTCGCACAGCAGCTTCTCCATGGGGGTGTTGCCAATGGTGCGGCGGAAGAAGAGCAGCTCCACACGCTCAGAGGAGATGAAGCGCAGTGCCGGGAGGAGCAGCAGCAGCTTCCCGAACCTGGGAGACAGAGCGGTGGCCATGGGTGAGTGTCCCCACCCCTGGTGTCACCCATGGGGACGTGGGGACAGCAGTACCTGACGGGTTGCCCAGGGTAGTGAGAACGGTTGTGCTGGCCCAGCATCACCTGTGACTGGTCCTGCAAGTTCTCCACCTGCTCGGGGTCCTTCAGGCCACGGGTCTCTGCAGGGGCAAGGGGGTGGCAGGTTGGGTTGGGGACATGGGGACGGGCAGCAGTGGGTGCTGGTGGGACCACTCACCTGGTTTGAAGAGCACCACGGCCTTCATGCAGGCGAATTCGGTGGGGTCAACAGCCAAAGCCTTGAAGCGGCTGAGGGTCTCCTGCAGCGCCCGGATGTCCAGGGTGGCCGGCAGCAGCTTGCCAGGGGCCGGCTCGGGGACAGCCAGCAGCGGGCAGCTCTCCAGGGGCATGGACCACTGGATGGCACAAAGCAGGAACAGCTCGCTCCATGCTTCCTCCAGCAGGATCACCTGGGGAGAGGGGAGAGGGAGCCCCAAAACCCCTGTCACCCTCAAAGCCTGCAGCACCTGCAGCCACCACAACTGGTTGGGCTGAAGAACATCTTATGAGGGGGAACCCCAAAACCGTGCGGTCAGTGTTGGGAGGCTGCTCCAGCCATCCTCATTGCACTGGTTTCCTACATTTTTTGGGGTCCCCGTTGCCCAGTAGGGGGGTTCCAAATGCCCTATGGGTGTCCCCAGTCCCACCTGGTCACGGAAGGGCAGGTTGGAGAAGACGGGCAGATTTTTGGCCCATTTCACGGCCATGAAGAGGAGACGTGCTGAGGTCTCATAGACGTTTTCGGGGCTAGCTGCTGGGTATGGTGCCACCTGGTACTCGCCAGCTGCCCGCTCTGGCTCGCTGCCCGTCACATCCACTGTCTCATCGGCTGCAGGAACAGAAGGGGAGGCTGGTGGTCACCCCACTGTGGGGACAGCCCCCTGTGTATCCCCTCCCCACCGGTGGCCACCCACCATCCTCAGGCTCCAGCTTGGCGCAGGTCTCAGCCGTCATCAGGCTGGCCATGAAGCGATGATTGGTGGGTGGCGTGGGTGCTTGCGGACCCGGAGTGACAGCAACGGTGGCACCGGAACCACGGGGAGCCGGGCAGGGGGTCTGGGGGACCTCACGGGTGGTGGCCACGTGTTCGGGAGGCAGCTCAGTGTCCAGCTCGATGCTGTCCAGCCGGACCTGGGCTGTGCTGCGGGGCTGGCGCTCATTCTGCACGGCTGCAGGAACAAGGTGGCATCAGCACCGGCCACCCGGCTGTCACCCCCCTGCCATCCATCACCATGTGTCCCCCCGACCCGTCTCACCATCCTTGTTCATGCCGGCTTGCAGGCACTTCTTGAGCCGGCAGGCCTGGCACTGGTTGCGGTGCGCCTTGTCCACTGGGCACAGCCCTGTCCCCGCCTGGCACCTGTGGGGAGAGGTGGCACTTGGGTGCAGCCCCTGGGGTGGCCCCTGGCCCTGGCCCTGCCCCTGAGGGGTGTCCTGCCCCCCCCCAATAGGTGTCCACCCTGTCCCCAACAGGTGCCCTGTTCCAATGAATACCCTGTCCCCAGTGGGTGCCCTGCCCCAGTGAATACCTTGCCCTGGCCACATGAGGGTGCCCTGGACCCACCCTCCCGGTCCCCTGCCCTGTCAGATGCCCATTCCCTGGTCCCTGCTCTGCTGGGTTCAAGTCCCCCTGGGTCCCTTCCCCACTTGTTGCCCATGCCCTGGGGTCCCTGCCCTGCTGGGTGTCCATCCTGTGGGACCCTACCCCACTGAGTACCTGTTCCCCTAGTCCCTGCCCTACTGGGTGTCTGTCCCCAAGGTCCTTGTCCTGCTGGGTGTCTACTCCCCTGGTCCCTGCCCATCTGGGTGCCTGTCCCCTGGGGTCCCTGCCCTCCTGGGTGCCCCATCCCCTGGCTCCCTGCCCTGCTGGGTTCATGTCTCCCTGGTCCATATCCCACTGGGTGTCCATCTCCGGGGGTCCCTACCCCACTGGCTGCCTGTCCCTTAGTCCCTGCCCTGCTAGGCGTCCTTCCCACTGGGTCCCTGCCCATCTGGATGCCCATCCCCTGGGCCGTTCTCCCATTGGGTTCATGTTCCCCTGGTCCCTAACCCCCTGGGTGCCTGTATCCCTGGTCCGTGCCCCACTGGGTGTCCATGCCCTGGGGTTCCTACCCTGCTGGGTCTCTATCCTCTGAGTCCCTGTTCCTCTGGCTCCCCATTCCTTGAGTCCTAGTCCCTCTGGGTGCCCACCTCTTGGGTCCCTGCCCTGCTGTGTGTCTATCCCCCTGGGTACCTGTCCCCCTAGTCCCTGCCCCCATGGGTGTCCATCCCAAAGGTCCCTGCCCTGCCAACTGCGCCTCCCCCCACTCCCTGCCCCCAGGGGACAACCCCCACCCCCCATTCCCACCTGTAGATGAGCTTCCTGCGGACACTGCGCTTGAAGAAGCCACTGCATCCGTTGCAGGCATAGATGCCGTAGTGCTTCCCGCTGCTGGTGTCCCCACACACTTTGCACAGCAGCACAGGGCTCAACGCTTTGCCGGGGGCTGGGCTCAGCCCTGCAGGAGTGGAGCCACAACATTCAGGGTGACTTGGGACAACCTGATGTCCCTTGTCCCTCCCTCGAGTCCCTGATGCCCCCAACATCCTGGTGATGGGGTGGCTCCCACCTCCACTGGTCCAGCCCAGGGACATGGATGGGGACACCTCAGGGACTCCAGGGATTGCACATGGGGTTCAGCATCTCCCCATGCCTCAGCACCTGGGATGCAGCAGGCTGAGGTCTCAGGACTTTTAAAAAAAAAGGGAGGGATGAAAAGGTGTCCCTTGGGATGAGGACACTGGGTGTCCCAGTGAGGGACTCCGGGCATCCCAGAGAAGGGCTACAACGAGGGACCAGAGGTGTCCTGCAGAAGGACCACAGCTGGGGACACTGGGCATCCCAACAAGGGGCCGCGAGCATCCCAGATAAGGGTCACAGCAGGGGAGTACAGGGACCCTGGAGAAGGGCCGGGGAGCAAAGGCATAGAGGAGGGTCGGGGCTGGGGACTGCAGGCATTCTGAGCCCAGAGGAGGACCATGATGGGGACCGTCAGCATCCTGGAGAAGCTATCAAGCTGAGGACCCCCAGGCATTCCAGAGAATGACCACGATGGGGACCCCAGTCATCCTGGAAGACCACAAGGGGGATGCCAGGTGTCTTGGAGAAGGACCACAGTGGGGCCCCTGGGCACCCAGGAGAAGGACCATGATGGGGACCCCTAAAATCCCAGAGAAGAACCATGATGGGTACTCTGGGTGTCTTGGCGATGGACCACGATGTGGATCCCTGCCATCCTGGAGGACTGTGATGGGGACCCTGGGCATCTTGGGGAAGGATCATGATAGGGACCCCCCAAGTATCTTGGAAAAGGACCATGATGAGAACCAAAGGCATCCAGAAGGCCATGTTTAGGACCTTGGGCATCTTGGAGAAAAACTACTATGGGGGACCCCAGGCATCTTGGAGATGGACCATGATGGGGACCCTGAGGATCCCAGAGAAGAACCATAATGAAGACCCCCCCAAACATCTTGGAGAATGACCACAGTAGGGACCCAGCCATCCCAGAGAAAGACCCCACCAGCAACAGCAGTCCCACCGTGTCGCACCCACTCAAGCAGAACACCACTCTTACCCGTGGGGCTATCATCCAGCCCGGTGCTCACCACCGACCCCGCTGGTGACGCAGCCATCCCGTACCTGACGTTCTCAACCTTTCCCTCTCCCCTCCCTCCGGATCCACCGCAGTGGATGTACCAGGGTCTGGTGAGGTGGTGGGTGCTCCAGCAGCTCTGCGGGCAGCAGGGCTCTTGCCTTGCTCTCTTCAAGGCAGCTTAGCGGCAGGCGCTGTGTAAGCAGCCGCCTCTTTGTCACCCTCTTAATCTTTAGTGTCTGCGCAGGGCAGGGGGGGGATCAATCAGCCACGCGATGAAGAATTAAAAAGGTGCTGAGCCCCAGCCCTGTAACCCTAAACCCCACGACACCCAAGCCTACTCCCTGCCCCTGGCACGCTGCCGCAGGCCAACATGGGGGTGTCACCCTGCCACCGCCTGTACCCCACCCCCAGCATTGCAAGGCTGAGATTGCCGTGGAGGTGGGAGATGGGGCTTGAGGTAGGGACCCCCATATGTGTCCCCCACCTTGGGACCCACCAGGTCCTATAAGCACATAAGCTCTTCGCTAAGGCGGTTAGAGGGGAATAACAAAAAGTGGTAATTAAGGGGGGGGTAATTTCCCTGCCCCCAAGCAATTAATTACCAGCCCTGATGGCAAGGGGAGGAGGGATCCTCAGTGGGGCTCCTCCATGCCTCAGGTTCCCCTCCCAGGGGAATGGGGGGGCCCCCGGGAGTGTCAGGCCAGGGCTGCTGACACTGCAGCGGGTGGGGGCCAGGTGGCCCCCGGGGTTACGCAACTGCTGCTAAACCCTCACCATGACAGGGCAGCACAATTTGGGATTTGAGGGCTTTAGCTGCTAAACCCCCCCTGCCCAGCTCAGGGGGATGGTGGGTGGTCACCGTCACCTGGCCTGGGTTGTACCGAGGGATGGGCCAGGCTGTGTCCAGGGGGTCCCCAGCCCCTTGTGTCCCTCCCAGGAGGGAGGGGCTCAGCCTGCAGCCCCAGGGGTGTTGCTGCCGTCTGTGGTCTGTGGCTCGAGTGTCCCAGGGGACAGGTGCTGGCAGCAGGCTCCTGGCTGAGGGCTGGCAGCAGTGACACCAGTGGATCCGGGGGCTGGAGGTCACCCCTCCATCATCCCTGCTTGCGGCATGGCATCACCATCCTGCCTGCTACGTGATTCCATCCCTGCTGCCTGCAGCACTGCTTCATCATCCTGTCCACCACGTGCTTCCATCCTCTTCTGCCTGCAGCATCACTCCATTCTCCCCTGCTTGCACCATGCCTCTATCATCCTGCCTCCAGCATGGCTCCATCACACAGCTTGCAACATATCTCTACCATCCATCCTGTCTGCAGCATGGATCCATCCTCCCCTGCCTGCAGCATGGCTCCATTATCTTACCCACAGCATGGCTCCATCTCCCCTGCCTGCAGCACCCCTTCACCCCCAGGACCTCCTGTCTCCCCCAGGGTGGCCCGTCCCAATCCACAGCCCCCCATCCCGCAGCGGGCCCCCATCCTGACCCAGATCTCTGACAGCCACCATCTGCGGCAGCGGCCGTCCTCCTCCCTCAGCAGAATTATGACGCTGGGCTAATGCGGCAGGAGCAAGCTGTCACCTCGCCCTGCCCGTCCCTTACCCACAGCTTAGGTACCGCCAGACCCTTCAGCAGAACTTCACCCATGAGTGAAACAACCCCCAGTGTCTAATCTGGGGGTGCTGGGAGCACCCGCACCCCAGTGTGCCAGCCACCCATGGGTGACACAGGGACCTGGGTGCCCGGTGCCAGGGGATGCTGGGGAGTGGCCAGCATGGTGATACACACTGAGTTGGCTAATTTTCCTGTCCCCTCCTCACCATCGGGTAAAAGCCAGCTCCAGAGCAAGGATTTGGGAGGGGGATTAGACAGGCCAACCATCTGCTGCTGGCCAATCATCAGCATGCCCAGGAAAGCCATTAATCACAAAAATACCGTTTCCCACCCCATTTCTCCATTACACCCAGCTGGGTGCAGTCCCCAGGGTGGGGTCCCCATGGAGCAGCACCTCATCCCCCTCCTGGGGCTGAGCACCCCATGAGCACCCAACCTAGGCACCTAGGGAGAATCGACTTTGCCCATTTTTGGGAAGAGCCCTGAGCAGGCCCAATGCCACAGCCGAGGTGCACGTGGTGGGGTGGGGGTGAAGGAGCAAACATTAAAGCCCGCGGCGGGGTCATGACTCAGCTCAGTGACAGATGCTGGGGCAGATGCCACAGGATTACCCAGCCTAAAACCTTGGGATCTGCCCCCCTTCCCCCCCAGCAGGCAGAGAGCATTTAATTACTAATTTACTGATTACCCAAAGATGCTGGTGATGGGCTTGAAGCCTGTGGTCAGGAGCAGCCCTGAGGCTCCAGCTACCCTAATCCCACCAGCTCTGGGGAGCTGGTGGATGCGCCCTGGCCAGGAGACAGCTCAGTTGTGGACATCATGTGCCCCAGGGAGGCACCATTGTCCTGGCAGCCCTGATCTTGCCAGTGATGACACGAGGTGGTGGGATCAGGAGGGGATGGTGGGGATCAAGAGGGGATAGTGGGGACCAGGAGGAGACAACAGGGATCAAGGGGAGATGGTGGGGACAAGGAAGGGATGATGGAGACAAGAATTAATCAATGGGGACCAGGAGGGGACTATAAGGATCGGGAGTGGGTGATGGGGAATAGGATGAGATGGTAGATACCAGGATGGGATGATCTGGATTGAGGAGGAGATGATGGAGACAAGGATGATTGGGAACCAGGAGGGGATGATGGAGACCAGGACAGGATGGTGGGGACCAGGTGAGGACAACAATAATCAGGAGGGGATGTTGGGGACCAGGAGGAGGTGATGGGGACTGGGAGGGGATTATGAGGATCAGGAGGGGACAAGGGGACAATGGGAACCTGGATGTTTTTATAGTAACCAGGAGACAATGATGGATGATGGAGATCAGGAGGTAACAGCAGGGACCAGGAGGGAATTATATAAAGCAGGAGAGGACAGTAGGGACCACGTGGGGATGATGGGGACCAAGAGGGTGTGATGGGAATCAGGAGGGGGCAGTGGCAGATGGGGATCATGAGGGGATAGTGAGGACTGGGATGGACTGATGGGGACCAGGAGGGGAAGATGGGGATCAGGAAGCAGTGCTAGGAACTGGGAGGGGATGGTGGGGACTGTGAGAGGATAATGTTGACAAAGAAGAGTCAAGGGAACCTAGAGGGATGATGAGGACCAGGAGATGATGATGGAGCCCAGAAGCATCTAGTGAGGACCAGAAGGGGGTGGTGAGAATCAGAGCATACATCAGGATGGGACAACAGGGACCAGGAGAGCATGGTGGGGGACAGAAGGGGACAGAGCAACTAGAAGAAGACACGAAGGTCTGGGAGGGTACAAGGTGGCTGTGGGACTGGAAGTGGCTGGAAAGGGTTAACGCAGCTGCCCTGCGCTGAGCCTTGTCCAGACAAGGCTCCAGTTTCAGCTGTAATTAGCTCTTGTTTATTAGAGGCTCCCTGATAAATGATTCTATGGAGGTTGCCCGATGACAGAGGGTGACAGCTCCCACTTCGGCTGCCCCAAGCGCTGCTAAAGCCCTTACTGACCGCCCTCCCCCCACTCCCCCCACACCCTCCCCCACTCCCCGTGCAAGGATTAAAGTTTAATGTAGCTCTGGAGCTGACCCCAGGCATGCACTGCCCCGGGGACACAGGGCTTCGGAGAGGTTGGTGACCATCCCTTGGGCCACCGACAGGGCAGGAGACATTTTGGAACCAGCCCGGTGGCCAATGGCTATCACTGCATTGTGGCCATGGGGCCGTTTTGTGATGTCTTTGAGGTCATCCAAGAGGTTCACTGACGAAATGTCACACTAGATTGTGTTTGCCCCCTGGGACTGGCCCTGCAGAACGGGCTCAGTGCCACGGCGGGGCCGGTCGGTGTGGTCTGGGCACATTCCCTGGCACTAGAAGATGTGAGAGTGCCAAAAGCCACCGCAGTGCTCCCTGGGGTGGGTTGAGGTCCTGCCCCACAGCCACCTGTGGAGCAGAGGCTGCCTGGGGAGCGCACTGGAGTGAGGGGAACTTGGAGGCATCCTCAAGGTGAGGGAGCTGGGCACAACACAAGCAGTAGGGCTGGCACAGTGCCCAAGGCTGTGGCTTGGGTTTCAGCAGGGCAACGTGGCACCACTACTGTTTGGAGACAGAGAGGTCCCAAGGTGGGGTTGTGCACAGCCCCGTGTCCCCAGCTCTCTGGACATCGTGTTTTCTCCTTGCAGATGAACCTCCTCACCCAGGTAAAGGGGGGAGACAGCGCTGAGGACACCTGCACCCAGGTGGTCCCACCCCACTGCAGTGGTACCCAGTGCCCATGGACAACGTGGTTGGGACCTGCCCAGTGCTGAGTCTGGGGGTGCCGAGGGGGTGGGGGTGCTGGGAGGCTGCTGTGGGCTGGGGATGGGTGCTGTCAAGGGTGGGTGCTAGAAACGGGGGGTGCTGGAAATGGAGGGTGATAGCAAGGGTGGATTCTAGCACGGCAGGGTCCTACCAAGGGTGGGTGCCGGCAGGGGATGGGTGCCAGTAGAGGCTGGGTCGCACGCTGGCTCTGCCCCCTCTGCCCACAGGTGAGCACCCTGGTGCAGACCCTGCGACCCCCGGACGGGCCGTTCCTCCAGCTCTGGCACTGGCTGGGCTCCTGGGTGCGACAGGTTTGGGGGTGCTGACACGGGGAGCCCAGCCAGGGGCTGGGGCAGGGGCATGGCAGCAGTCTGGGCAGGGGCTGAGCCATGACCCCGGTGCCTTGGGTCCCATCTGCCCAACGCCACCAGGGCTGATGCCCACTCTTTGTCCCTCCAGGTGAGCAGCTCCAGGCAGGTACGTGCTGGCGTCCCCTCTGCACCCCCCACCACCCGTCTCACCTCTGGCCCGGCAGGGTCAAATACCGCACACGCTGCCTTTTCCGCAGCACCCATGGGTGCTCAGCACCTAGAGGAGATGTCCCCTTCTCAGAGGGTTTCCCCATCCATGGAGAATCAATATAGAGTAGACAATAGAGTTTATAATGAAATATAATCTGCAATATATTCTATGTAGCATAACACATAACATGCATTACATAACATATATAACATATAGCATATAGAATATAATATAGAATGTAGAATGGATAATGGATTATGTATAATGTATGATCAAACATAGAATATATAATATATATATCATAATTATTATAATCTGTAGTAACATATATGTTAAATAGTGTATAGCATGTAGCATGTAATATATAGTATTTAATGCTGATACAATACAATACAACATATGTAGAATAATGTACAACACATTATGATTTAATACATATTATAATATGTACCAAATATAATTCATATATGCTATAATATATATAATATGCATGTACCGTGTACATA